TATCATATATTCTTCCAATTGTACAAACTTATTGGATATATGCTGATCAACACCGTTACTTTTTCCCTTTCTTTTCATTTCTCGTCTGTTCTTTGGTTAGTGTCAACATTGAGCCAACAAGGGTTTATCCGTCCATAAATAATAATACACAAACTTGATTTGAATTGTCTTGAGACATTTTCTAAAAATCCCTTTTTAGAAACTCTTGCTCCCAAACGCACACTCAAATATATGTGGTCGTACAAGTAATAAAATGATAAGTCGAGTGTCGAACCTACAGAGACTTGTATTAACTACCCACTAGTTTCACCAAGATTATTATTCAGTCAAGTCAATCAGAGTTCTAATTAGTGATTATACTAAGCAATAATTCTAACAAGTAACTAATTTATCAAGCAGCTAAGTAGTTGTTGTGTATTCAGTAGAGACGAATATTCCAGGGTTGTGATCGATTCACCAATCCTATTATGCTCTAATTAACTCTCTCTTTCATACAATTCACTCATGTTTGCAAATCAATCGAACAATTGCTCTTGTAGTATTCTCCCGAATTCCTACTCGCCTATTCAAAATAGATTAACGCCACGGTGACTAGGTATATTCTTATCCTAACCACAAATCCGCCACCCACTCAGAGTTAAGATCATGCTCTTCAATTCTTCTCTAATCTAGACGTAGCTTTCTCAAGCATAGCATAGATAGTATATAGAACCTAACTGTTGCCAGACAATTAAGCAATTACTCACAGAATTGAAGAAATAACCATATATTAGTGAATTGTAATCAAGGTTAAGTCAACTTTCAACAACAATATTCATGGCTAAATCACAACCCCAGAACTATGGGTTTTAGCCACTCATGATAATATCAAAACAAATTCACAAGTGTTGAATAATTGAGAATACTAAGAAAAGATAAAGAAAACTGAGATATCCTCGCTCCCGGATGTTCCTCGTGTGTAATTTTTGCTCCAAAGTGACGTCTCCCCTCCCAAAATAGGCTTAGTCTTGCTTTTATACGCGTTGGATAGGTCTTGGATCGAAATAACCTTATCCCGGGCGAAGTAGGAGATATTTCCCATCGCCAACGCCCAGGGTAGCGTGGGGGCACTAGCCCTAGCGCTGGCTTATTTTAGATTTTGCTAAGTGTGCCACGGGTAGCGCCCAACGCTACCTGTGGTGCTACAAACGGCAATTTTCTAATGTTTCTCCTTTTTGGCTCCAATCTCGCACCTTTCGTCCCATATTACTTCCGGATGATTCCTACACATTAACATCACGGATTAGCATAAATTATTACATTTCACATCCGAAATCTACGAAATACGAGTAAAATGTAAGGTGCTATACAGATAAATATATATACTTTAATCTAAATATCAACACCTCACACTTAGACTCTTGCTCGTCCTCGAGCAATGAGACTATCAACTACACCCCAAACACGTACACATCTTAACTAGAGAGGAGCACTTTAATTTTTTAGCATACACTCTACCCTTGACTATGATCGATACCGGCAATCAAGCACGAACATACAAATTTTACAATCTTCCCTTTTTAAACATGCCCAAGTATAAAAATTTCAATTCAATCGATTCAAACAACCAATCCGTCATCACCCTACCTCAAGAGCTGACTCGTTACCACTAAGCACCCTCAACTCGCGCACTCACCCAACAAAAGAAGTTTACAACATTATCAATCCTTCATGAGATCAGGTGCCCTCACCAACAAACAAAAGAGTGAATATAGAGTAGTCCACACATTCAAGTATGCCTTTAAACATAATTTAAGGATATCACACAATTTGAACAAGAAAATCACTCACTCTCACAAAGAATTCATGTGCATCCCCTGGTCGTACCATAAGCTTCCCCGTAGTGTACATCTCTATTAATCTAAGCTAGCCAAATCTAGGATCAATTAGGACTTTAAGGTTGTAATGTAGGCTAAGGGACGGGTATGATACATTTAAGAATAGTGATTAACCCTCCTAAGCACTTTAATACACTACACTAAACAATAGAGCACATATTCTTCTCAACCAATTCACTCGCCACAAACCATATACAACATAGCCCTCTTTTCAATTAATCATTTCTATACTCCCACTAGCACGAATTAGTAAGATTAGGAGGTGTGTTTTTTTTTTACATTATTTGAACCATCATTTTTTCTTCTTCTTCTTCCTCTCTCTCTCTCTCTCTCTCTCTCTCTCTCTCTCTCTCTCTCTCTCTCTCTCTCTCCTTTTCTACACACCCTCCATACATTAAGGTTCGTCGGTTAGTGACCTTTTTTCACAACTTTAGTGTGCCTTAAGGACCCTTCCATGGATCTATTCGAAAGTTACCCCCAATCTCTCACCTTACTTCTTTTAGCGACTAAGTGATTTAGGAGGTAAAGGTTCAACAATCTCAAATTAAGAACAAAATAGGGATATGGCTTGTAATGTGGGTACCAAAGAAAAGGTCTATAGGCTCAAAGGGGCTAGCAATAGAAAATTTTATGTTTAAGTGACAAACACGTCTATGATCAAGCAAGAAACGCCTACGTCATCTCCTAGACTAGAAAAACTTAATAATTTCGCTTCGATTAACACACGGGGCAAGTTCTAGACTACACAGGATAGCACAGAAAATTACAAATCCTCACACACACAATTGCACATGACTCAATCAAGACGGTTCTGTTCAACTCTCAAATCAAACAAGCACATATAGTTAAGAAATTTTAAGCAATATTGCACTATGTGGCATACAAGCCAACCAACTGAGAAAAGGCGTCAGAAAGTAGGCTATTTATTTTACTCAAGCATCAAAATTCAAATCAAATATACGGGAAGACAGAGCGCATGCCATAACCAAATGTGCCAACACCAAACACGTCAATAGGCACCTCAGAGCAACTCAGTTTCTTCCTAACCTACTCCTAAAAGAAAATAAAAGTACCCAGTTCGAGCTAACCCCTAGAGAAGAACCGGCGCCTAAAGAAAAACCAAGGGTTACTACCTAACTATCCTAATAAAATAAATCTTTTTGGTATTTTTAATCGAACTTTATTCTGTGAGCACGTGATTTTTGCCCGACTAACAAATACTTCTACAAATTTACAAAAATAGATTTTTCTGATTATATTTATTTTTATAGAATTTTTAGGAATTTCTTGCTAATTGTTGTTTGCATTTAGTTGCATATTTAATATTTTAAATCATAGAAAAATATCAAAAAATGTCTCAAATATTCATTGCATAGCATTTGAGGTCGTAATTGCATTTAGGATTTAAATGCATGAGCTAATTACATTATTAAACAAAAATAAAAAAAATTGGTCATTTTTACATACTTAGCTTCTAGTTTTAAAATTAGTATTTTTTTTTATTAGTTTTAAGTTAATTAATTATTTTAATGTTAGAAATAGATAATTAATTTAATTCTACATATTAGGTTTTTTTCAGGACTTAGTTTATGTCTTTTATTAATTCTATAGGATTTAAAAATCAAGAAAAAGAAAGAAAAAGAAAAAAAGAGCTTGGTTTGATTTCGAATTGGGCCACAACCATTTTTCAGTGGCCCAATTGACCTAAAATCGCCCCAGCCCAACCCCCAAACCGGTCCAGTTTCCCAATTAAACCAAACGACCCCGTTTCTATAACTTCTAATCTCAGCTGTTGATCAATTACGATCTAACGGCTGGGAACTAAAATCCCTAATCCCTTTTAATTGTCGGACCATACCCCCTAACCCCAAAACCCTCACATAACTCACCTCTCTCACCCTTTCTAAACCTCCGCCAACAGACGCCATCGGAAATCGCCCACGGCGGTGGCACGTCGCCAAATAGCCACAAACCCACACCCTACAACCTCCAGCCTCCCCTCAGTCCAAATCCCTCATTAATTTTCCCAAAAAATCACCCAAACTCCATGAATTCCAAATCTAGAAATCGCAGAAAACCTAGAGTTTTCCTTTTGTTTGATTTGTCCTTAAATTTGGCTCATCTGGGATCGAAACCTACACTAATCGACTTCTCTTGAGAATTGCACGATTTTGCTGATTTCATGGCCACAAAACCTTGGTCATGCTCCTTTGGATCGCATGGTTCATCCTCGCCTTGCCTAGCTTCTTTTTATCGAGCCAGTAGGAGATATTTGCTGCATACCAACATTGTCTCGCATGGAGAAATTCGGCCAGTGTGTGTGGGGAAATTTCTCCAGCTTGCCGGAAATCCTTTTTCTTCTAACAATCCGCTGGAGCACTTAGGTATCTCTTCCTTCTGTTAATATGTCATTAGTTTAGATTAATTTGTATGTTAGTTGTAATTTTTCAAATTAGTTCATGTTCAGCAACATCACTTTATCATGCCTTCACTTTATTTTTATTTTTATTTTTATTTTCTTTCTGTTTTCTTTGTATTGTTGTCTGTTCTGTTGTCGTCAGTCAAGAGCATTTTTTAGCATCTTTGTTTGTTTGATTTAGGATTAATCGGAATAGTATAGTTCCTTATTAATTATAGTTTTGCATTCCTATTTCGTTAATTACTTAATTATATGTTTAAAGCCAATGATTAATTAGCATGATTAAGTGTTGGTTATTAATTTTGTTTGTGATGGATTAGTCTCATTTTTAGTTAATGGTAGAGATTTTGATTTCACTATCTGCCACAGAGTTTCCTCTTTAGCAGGTTTGGTTTATGAAATTGTGGGGTTTTAAGTTCAATGCAAAAAAGGTTTAGGGGTGAGAAGGGTAATAAACAAAACTTAAGGGGGCCAATTGGAAAGTGGGATTAGGGGAATTTCAGATAAGCATATAAGAAGCTTCTAGATACAGCTGTTCATTTTTTAGTTTTACAAGAGGCTGAAATTTGATAGAAAATGACAACTGTAGAGAATTAGTTAGAAAAGATGCTTTTTCTCCTTAATTTTAGGGAGAGCACATGGGAGGTGAGCCGAAACTTTTTTCCCTTATAAAAAGACTCCTATTCACATTCTTAGACATGGATTTTACAGGAGAAAACCCCTCAGAAATACATAGGCTCATTCTCTTGAGTGCTTTTCTGATTCTTTCTCTTTAAGTTCAAAGCTAGAAAACAAAAGGCAAAAAAAAAAAAGATTTCCAGCCTAATTTTCCTTTCCATTTTCTACTGGGTTACTCCATGTTGCTGGGATTTCTGATTTGAGTTTGAAGTTGCTGTGTTTTTGGTTTTCTACTGTTGTTTATTTGCTGCTTCTTCTTCCCAGTTTGTTAGAGATTTATTTTCTTCTTTTGCTTTGCTGCTTCAAGGTATTGATTTCAATCTCCTTTGATGTGTCAGCTGTTTAAATGTCAATGTCAAGAAATATGCAATCATGGGCTACTTATGTGTTTAATATATGCTCTTTGTAGCGATTAATCTTTTCTGTTTGAACCAATGTTCTTTTCTGTTCGAGTTTATGGATGAAGTTTGCATTGATCAGGCCATGTCTGCGTTTAATCTGGCAAGTTCAAATGTGTTTAACCGTTAAATCTGCTCGTATTTGCAGTAATTGGTTTGATTATTTATTTTTGAGTTGAATTTAAATTGGTCTTGCTCATTATGTTTGATTCTGTTGAAGCATACTATGGCTTATGTTAAGAAGTCATTGTGAAGTACTAGCTCATAGATTGAAATTGATGGTTTAGATCCTACTGATCTTCTGCTGTTTTGATTTGTTATGAAAAGGTCTGATTCGCAAGGATAACCCAGTGGCTATTCTCTTGCAAATTAAAGGCCATTTGGATGAACACTATGGCACAACCATCTTATGAAGAATTGCACATGAACTAGAAGCATAGACTTGTTTTAGATTTAGTCAAATCTTGTATAATTGCATATGTAGCAAAAACTTACATAATTAATTTCTCAGCTATGTATTTTAATTGAACTCAATTCACATGAGTTTTCTAGATATAAGCTAATAATTGTAAATTTTTTGAAAGTAGGAGGTATGCCTAACTTATTTGAATAGCCTTCATTTTCCTAATATTTTTTTAACTTGTTATGTCTCTTCTTCGTCAAGCTACAACCCACACGGTTTAAAAAATGAAAGGAGTTGTTATGATATTTTTCGTTCTGTATTGTTTTAATGTTAGCAATGGGTCATCAACGAGCTAATTATGTATGGCGAATTCCATTAATATCTTTTAGTTCTATAATTTGCTGAAAATTAAACCGTATTTCGCAACGTCTATGTGATGACCCAAAAGGTCATCTTGCATTTTACAACCCAATTCGGTGTTTCAAGGCCTTCAAAACTTCACTTTATTTCTCCTCGATTTACGTGCACAGTCCGGACGTATTTCCGTAAAGTCTTTATGTGGAAATTTGAGAAAATAATAATTTAAAAGTTGAATTTAGTTGACTTCGGTCAACATTTTGAGTAAACGGACCGGGATGGTCCCAGAGGGTCCGTAGTAAAATATGGGACCTGGGCGTATGCCCGGAATCGGATTCGGAGGTTCCTAGCCCGAGTAATAAATTTTTGTTAAAAATTGTTAAACTGAAAATCTAAGGATTTAAAGAAATCGATTAATGTTTGATCTCGTTGGTATCGGGCCCGTATCTTGGTTCCAGAGCCCTGTATAGGTTTAATATAATATTTAAGTCACGTCTGTAAAATTTGGTGAAAAACAGAGTTTATTTGACGTGATTCGGACCTTTGGTTGAGAAAATAGAAGTTTTGAACTTTCTTGAAAATTTCATGCAATTTGGTGTTAAATTCGTAGTTCTAGGTGTTATTTTGGCGATTTGATTGCGCGAGCAAGTTCGTATGTTGTTTTAAGACTTGTGTGCATGTTTGGTTTGGAGCCCCAAGGGCTCGGGTGAGTTTCGGATAGGCTACGGAGTGATTTGGACTTAAGAAAAATTGTTGGTATGTTGCAAGTCTGCAGACTTCGCAATTGCGAGGTCTGACTTGCAAATGCGAGCCTCGTACTTGCTATAAATGATCGCATTTGCAAAGCAGGGGAGGGGACTGGGGAGTTCGCATTTGCGAAGAACTGGCCACATTTGCGGAAAACCTTGTTTGCATTTGCGACCGGGACTTCGCATTTGCGAAGGCAGCAGAAATGCGAGGGGTTCGCATTTACGATACCTTTCTCGCATTTGCAAGCTTTGCAAATGCGAAGCTCAGGTCGCAAATGCGACATCTGCAGCTGATAAGTTTTGGACTTAGACGAGATTTTCATTCATTCACCTATTTTTCAAAACCTAAACCCCAAGAGGTGATTTTCCAAAGGCAATTTCTTCCCAAAATCATAGGTAAACAATTCTTCATCATTTCTTTCAATCTTTTGCATCTTTTACAAGATTTCATCATAGAATCTAGGGTTTTTCATGGTGGAATTGGGTGTTTTTGGGTAGAACATAGGAATTTCAAAATTTGGGGATTTAGACCTCAAATTGAGGTCGGATTCCAAAACCAATTGTATATCCGGGCTCGGGGGTGAATGGGTAATCGGGTTTTGGTCTGAACTTCGAGTTTTGACCAAGCGGGCCCGGGGTCGATTTTTTGACTTTTTGGGAAAAATGTTGGAAAACTTATAATTATGCATTGGAATCGATTTCTTTAGCGATAATTGGTGTTATTAAGTCAATGATGACTAGATACGAGTGGATTGGAGGTTGAATCTAGAGGAAAAGCCGTAATTGAGCTTTGAATTGGCCGTTGGATTGAGGTAGGTGTTTGGTCTAACCTTGACTCGAGGGATTAGGGATCCCCGACTTAATTACTATGTGAAATTCTATGTGTGTGGCGTTTAGGTGTGGTGACAAGTACCTACGCGCCGCCAAATTACTTGTTTAGCTTGTTCCCTTCCCCGTTCCTAATGTATTGTTTTTCCTATCTTAACTGCTACATGCTTATTGGTGCTTCCATGTTTAATTGCCTCTTGTTAGCTGTTGTTTTCTTATTTATTAATTGTTCCATAGTTCATGGTATCACAATATTGGTTTAAGTTGATTTATCGGTAAATCATGGTACATTTTGGTTAGTTTCGCCGGGTAGTATTAATTGATGAAACTTTCATAATTGTATAGACATCCGTCTGCTTTGGTTTGAGGCATAAATGTTGTGGAGGGTTTTGAGCTAAATTGTGAAATACTTGTTCTTATTGTGTGATTGGTGCTGATATGGTGGGATCGGGTGCACACCGCAACAGGTGGAATAAGGGTGATATATTAAGGAGAAATAAGGGTGAAATATGATTGTCTGGGGGGATCGGGTTGCGCCGCAACAGGAGTAATAAGGGTGGATAGGTGGGATCGGGTTGCACGCCACAACAGGAGGAATAAGGGTGGTATATATGAGGAGCAATAAGAGTGGACAGGTGAGATCGGGTTGCACGCTGCAACATGATTAATAAGGGTGAATATTCATATTGTCACTGATGATATAGTGGAATCGGGATGCGCGCCGCATCATTTGTTTTTTATGTACTCTTCTTCTGCTGTGATTTATTCATGTAGTATTGTAACTCTCTTAAGTATTGGTTATAGCTGAGTACTAGCAAGATATTTGGGTTTTGTATTTATTTTGCTGCAAGTTACTGTTCCAATTCGTTTCGTATTTCCTTTTTGCTTTATTATATACTGTTGTAGGTTATATTTTATATGCCCCACCGTAGCCTCGTCACTACCTCGCCGAGGTTAGGCTCGGTAGTTACCAGTATATGAGGTCGGTTGTACTGATACTGCACTCTGTACTTTCTGAGCAGATTTTGGAGCTGGTTGTGGCTGATCGAGAGGTCGGTTGCATGCATTCATCTAGGAGACCCAAAGTAGTCCTGCACACCCATACTTGTAGATATTCATAAAATGTTCGTGGATTGTGACACCGGTTTCTGGGTGGTAACTGTTTCGATATTGTTATTAGTATGAGGATGATCGGTTAATTATGTACTTCAGTATTTATTTCCGTTTAATTTAGCTTTGTTAGTTTTAACTATAAAATGTAAAGGAAAAAGGTAAATAGAACTCTAACGTTGGTTGCCTAGCGAGTGCGATGTTAGGCACCACCACGGTCCCGACAGTGGGAAATTCGGGTCGTGACAAGTTGGTATCAGAGTACTAGGTTGCCTAGGTCTCACAATTCACGAACAAGCTTAGTAGAGTCTGAAGGATCGATACGGAGACGTCTGTGCTTATCCCTAGAGGATACAGAGTTAGGAAAAATTTCACGTCTATTCTTCTCTGTCATGCGATTTGATCTTTCAATGCCAATTGAACTCTCTACTCTTGTCCCTTCGCAGATGGCGAGAACACGTACCGCTTCATCAACTGATCAGTAGCCCGAACCCCTAGTGGCAACTCCTACGAGGGGCAGAGGACGAGGCTGAGGCCATGCTAGAGGCCGAGGCAGCGGCAGGGCTTAGCCTAGAGCTCGAGCAGCAGCACCAGCGGTGGAGCCTCAGGTAGAGTTTGACGAGGAGGCTCCGGCCCAGACTGTTCTAACACGGCCAGCTCAGGTTCTAGAGGGGTTCATCGCTACCCCGGTACTTCAGGATGCTTTGGTCCGTCTAGTGGGCCTTATGGAGAGTATTACTCAGGCCGGCATACCTCCTGTAGCACCAGCCGTCTCTTGGGCCGGGTAGTTTCACAGACTCCCGCTACTCACACTCCGGAGCAGATGACTCCCAAGTTTCAAACTCCAGCAGCTCAGCCAATTAGGGTAGTTCCGCCGGGTGTTGTAGCACAGACCGGCGGTGGATCAGCGATGTCTTCTGAGGCCTTGTGGAGATTGGACAGGTTTACCAATCTTTTCACCACTACCTATGGCGGTACGTCTTCAGAGGATCCCCAGGACTATTTGGACAGTTGTCACGAGGTATTACGGAACACGGGGATAGTGGACACCAATGGGGTCGACTTTGCTACCTTTCGTCTGTCAGATTCCGCCAAGAAATAATGGAGGGATTATTATTTGGCCAGACCAGCTGGGTCACCAGATCTCACTTGGGACCAATTCTCTCAGCTATTTTGGAGAAGTATATTCCTATCACTGAGAGAGGACTATCGGAGGCAGTTTGAGCGCCTTCAAAAGGGTTTTATGACTGTCACCCAGCACGAGACTAGATTTGTGGATCTGGCCCGTCATGCTCTTCTTATACTTCGCACAGAGAGAGAGAGAGAGAGGGTGAGGAGGTTTATTGAGGTACTTGCTCAGCCTATCAGATTGCAGATGGCTAAGGAGACAGGGGGTGAGATTTCTTTCTAGGATGCGGCCAATGTGTCTAGACGAGTTGAGATGGTTTTAGCTTAGGGGAGTGGTCAGGGGTCTGACAAGAGGCCTCATCACTTCGGTGGATTCAGTGGGGCCTCATCTGGAGGTCGAGGTACCTTTGGTAGGGGCCATCTTCCCAGGCCGTTTCATTCAGCACTTCAGACATCCCATGGAGCTTCATGGGGTCGTGGTTCTTATGTAACTCCTTTAGGGAAGCCGCTTATAGTACATCGCCAGTTCCTATTAGAGCACCTACTCTTCAGAGTTATTATCGCGGTCAGCCGGCCCGTCAGGGTCAGTCTCAGTTTCCTCAACCGCAGTAGCAGGATGGATGTTTCGAGTGTGGTGTGTATGGGCATATCCGGAGGACCTGTCCGAGATTAGTGGGTGTTTAGTCTCAGCAGCAGGGTTCCCGTGCCATGATTCCAGCACCGCCTACTCAGCCAGCTAGAGGTAGGGGTCAGGGAGCCAAAGGTAGGGTCAGCCCGCTAGAGGTGGAGGTCAGGCCCCTAGAGGTGGAGGCCAACCAACAGGAGGTCATTCCAGAGATATGGTTCAGAGTGGTGGGGCCCAGTCCCGATGTTATGCTTTCCTAGCCAGGCCTGAGGTGGGCCCCGATGTTATGCTTTCCTAGCCAGGCCTGAGGCTGAATCATCCGATGCTGTTATCACAGGTACTGTTTCAGTTTGCAGTAGAGATGCTTCAGTTCTATTTGATCCAGGGTCTACATACTTTTATGT